TATCACCCTTTTTCTGTAAATGTTAATTATTAACAATGATAACAGTTACTATTGGATACTAATTCTTGATGCCTACCATGTGCCCAACACTTTGCACACTTGAATTTACTGAATCTCCACTAAGAAGGGATTATGCACTATAACTGCTGAGGAAGCTGAAGCCCAGAGGAGAAGGTCACATAGCAAGGTCAGGCCTGGGTGGGAACTGGACTATATGGGCAAGTCGGGTTTGTGGGTGCTGACTAGAGTCTTATACGTGTGTGTGTGTGCAAGCAAAGGAGGGTATGCAACTTAATGCATCTACAACTATGCCCACTCCTGCCTACTAGGATGAGAGGAACCAGGTACTGACCCTGTACTTGTGGATCAGGCAGGAGTGGACAGATGCCTACCTTCGATGGAATCCTGATGCCTATGGTGGCCTGGATGCCATCCGCATCCCTAGCAGTCTTGTGTGGAGGCCAGACATCGTGCTTTATAACAAGTATTGCCTGTCTTGAGCCCTACCCCTCCTACCCCTCTCCGGAGTTGCCCTAGCCCAGGGTATTTGCTGATTCTCCTTCATCATCATCTGACTTGATTGCTATGTTTCCCTGGAAGCTTTTCCCAGGACCCTTACTAAGATGTCAGGAGCTCATAGCATCTCCATGGTACCCTCCACTTTAGGCTCTACAAGGCCAATCCCAACTTAATGTCTCCCGGGAACCTACTGTGTCGTCCCGGGCCAGTTCTGTGTCTCTCAAAGAGAGATGTCTGGGACAGAAGTGCCTCTCTATGGCACACTCCACCTTTCCAGGCCAGCTCTGAGTCTTTCGGGGCTACACAAGTGCCTATTTAAGGATCTCTTTCATCCAAGGCCTCACACTTTGGAGCATTTTTTCTAAATGTCTCTTTGACCAGTTCTATATATCCCGGCCAACACATGACTCTGCACACTTTCCCTGGGTGCCCTCCACGAGTTTTGCAGATGACCTCCACTGTGCAGCCCAGAGCTATCTCTGGGTCCTGCCGGGACCTTCTGCCACTGCCCTTGGCTAGATCTATGTTCCTTCTGGGCTCCTTAGGTGCCACTCCTTCTAGGCAGGCCTCTAGAGGCAGAAGGCCCTCTCTGCTCTCTGGGCTCACTCCAAACTCCATGCTGGCCCTGGCGGTTTTGTGGTCTTGGGGAACAATCTAGTCAGAGCCCCTCAGACGTCTCTGGTTCCCAGGGTCCCAGGGCAACTCCTCAGCCCCTGAAGCCTCAGTAAGCCTGGCCGTGCCTCCCCACAGGGCGGACGCGCAGCCGCCAGCCTCTGCCAGCACTAACGTTGTTGTGCGGCACGATGGCGCAGTGCGCTGGGACGCGCCGGCCATTACGCGCAGCTCCTGTCGTGTAGACGTGTCTGCCTTCCCGTTTGACGCGCAGCGCTGCGGCCTGACGTTCGGTTCATGGACGCACGGCGGGCACCAGCTGGACGTGCGGCCGCGCGGCACTGCAGCCAGCCTGGCCGACTTCGTGGAGAACGTGGAGTGGCGCGTGCTGGGCATGCCTGCGCGGCGCCGCGTGCTCACCTACGGCTGCTGCTCGGAGCCCTACCCAGACGTGACCTTCACGCTGCTGCTGCGCCGCCGCGCCGCCGCCTACGTGTGCAACCTGCTGCTGCCCTGCGTGCTCATTTCGCTGCTGGCGCCGCTCGCCTTCCACCTGCCTGCAGACTCGGGCGAGAAGGTGTCGCTCGGTGTCACTGTGCTGCTGGCGCTCACCGTGTTCCAGCTGCTTCTGGCTGAGAGCATGCCACCGGCAGAGAGTGTACCGCTCATAGGTGAGCTGGCGGGGCATGGAGAGAGCCGGTGCCCTCCCTGTGTGTTGCTTATCGGTGACCATCAGGACAGGAGCAGGGAGTGGGGACAGGGCTAGAGTCAGCAGAATGGCCCCTGCCTCAGTGCGTGAGAGGAGGCACACCCTGGGAGCATGCCTTAATTTTGAGATTGAGTGGAAAGGAGAAGGCCCTTTCCAGGGAGACACCTCTCACTACTGGGGGCTGGAAGGAGGTTTTTTTCTCAAGACTTTGAGGGAGGAGCAGAGTGTATTGAGTACTGGCTGTATGCCAGGTGCTCAGCTAAGCATTTGATAATTTGATATGTACTAATTCAAGTAAGCATCTCCACAAACTCATGAGGTAGGTTTTCTCTTTATCCCAGCTGTACAGAGATAATGAGTATTAAAGCGTCAGATTATGCCCATGACTATTTGGGTGTGACTTTCATGGATTATGTGTAAGGGCAACCTTCAGCAGCCAGTAGAACAATCAGGTAGCAAATAGCTTCTGACAACCCATTTGTAGGAATGAAGGGGAGGGAGAACTTGGCCCTTACCTCCTTCCTGCATCCTCCATTGCACTTGGAGGATCCTGAGAGCCTCATGGTGGACTTGTCCCCATTTGTGCAGTGGTGGCTGGGAAGTCCAGGACACACAGGTTCTTATTTTGGGCGTTACTGGCTCTTTCTCTTGCAGGGAAGTACTACATGGCCACTATGACCATGGTCACATTCTCTACGGCACTCACCATCCTTATCATGAATCTACATTACTGTGGTCCCAGTGCCCGCCCAGTGCCAGCCTGGGCTCAGGCCCTCCTGCTGAGGTACCTGGCACGGGGCCTGTGTGTGCGGGAAAGAGGAGAGCCCTGTGGACAGCTCAAGCCACCTGAGTCAGTCCCCAGCCCCCAGCCTCCTGAGGGAGGGGCTGATCCCCAAGCAGGCCCTTGCCATGAGCCACAGTGTCTGTGCCGCCAGGAAGCGTTACTGCACCATGTTGCCACTATTGCCAGCACCTTCCGCAGCCACCGGGCTGCCCAGCGCCGACATGAGGACTGGAAGCGCCTGGCCCGTGTGATGGACCGTTTCTTCCTGGGCATCTTCTTCACCATGGCCCTGGTCATGAGCCTCCTGGTGCTGGTACAGGCCCTGTAAGAGTGGGGCTAGGCCCCAGTGATCTTCTGCAGCCACAGCACCAGAAGGAAGGCCAAGTGATTGTGGGTCCTTTGATAGACCAACTCCCCATTCCTTCTGAGAGCCTGGGACACCCTTTTTTCAGGACCAGCGGTACTGACTTCACTATCCATGTAGAAGCACTCATTGTCTGCATACCCTAAAATTGAGAGTATTCTAGAGCCCAATACTCCCCTAATTCCAAAAGAGAAGGAACTCTAAGAAGGTCAACATCAAAGTACAGTCTTGGGCCAGGGGCAATGTCTCATGCCTATAAACTCTCGGAGGCTGAGTAGGGAGGATTGCTTGAGCTCAGGAGTTCAAGACCAGCCTGAGCAAGAGCCAGACCTCATCTCTACAAAAATAGAAAAATTAGCTGGGTTTTGTGCTGGGTCCCTGTAGTCCCAGCTACTCAGGAGGCTGAGCAGGAGGATCATTTGAACCCAGAAGCTTGAGGTCATTGTGAGCTAGGCTGACACCATGGCACTCTAGCCTGGGCAACAGAGTAAGACTGTCACAAAAACAAAATAAACCAAAAAAAAAAAGTACAGTCTTGGAAACATGGATTGAAATGTCCATCCTGGTTGTTAAGAGCTCTTAGTGAGGAGAGTGTTGATAATTATATAAGAAACAGAACTGTCATATTTCCTGTCCCCCTGTTGTAGGGACCTGGTCTTGCCTATCTCTGCCTAGGGACTCAGGAAGGGGGATTCTTAGTCTGTTTTTCAGAGCAAGTGGCTATGTAGACATTTGGCCAAAAAGCCCCAACTCATAATAAAGTAAGTGTGTGGCTAGCAGCCCCTAGTGTACTGTCTTGCCCTTGGGGCACCCAGTGGTAGAAGTTGGAGATCCAGGTCAATCTTTCTAGAGATAAGAACTTTAGGACTCATGGATTAGAACTGAAATTACATCTTTTCTGACAGAAATTACATCTTTTTTTTTTTT